ATACCAGTTTTAAAGGATTATTAAATTCAGATCCAAACAAAAAAAAAAAAATTTCAGCAACCCAATACACAAAATTTTCAGCAACCTAATACAACAAATTTTCAACATCCCATTGTCCAAAATGAACTTGTAAACAACCTACAGATAAACAGTACTCCTAACCTAAATGAAGAACAAATTAAAACTGAGGGAAATGTAATGAATCTATCTAAATATGTTCTGAATGTAGATGAAATCTCTGTCCTCAATAAAGGTCTCACTTTCTCTCCACGTCCCAAGTTTAATCACTTTGATTTTGTCGCAGATGGTCTCTCTTTTGCTAGAAATGTCAGAATACAATATTATATTAAACAACAGCCAAACACAGTCCAAATTCACAGTCCAAATTGTTCAACGCCCAATTGCTTGGATAAATTCAAACCTAAATCAAACTGGGAACCTGATCCTCTTCCTCCTGACCATCCAGTAGAGCAATTCATTAATACTGTAATCTCCAACATTTCTGATCCTAAATTTGAATCCTCACTACATTCAAAGGATAATCTTACAAAAAATGAAAGAAAAGCTATACGTTCATTGAAAGAAAATTCTTCCATAATAATTGTAAAAGCAGATAAAGGCAACAGTACAGTAATCTTGAATCGTGAAGATTATATAAAAGAAGCAGAAAGACAACTGAATGACGCTGAATTCTACAAAAAAATCCCAAATGACCCTACCTTAACTTTCAATGATGACATTTCTAAATTTTTGCAAAAATATGGACCAAATGAAGACCTAAGTCAAGAAACTATAAAACTTTTGAGCCCTCTAAATCCAAGAACACCAATTTTTTATCTTTTACCTAAAGTCCACAAACCCATTCGACCACCACCTGGAAGACCTATCGTATCTGGATATGGATCACCCACTGAAAGGATCTCAGCATTCGTTGATGACACCCTCCAACCATTAGTGAAAACTTTACCGTCATATATAAGAGACTCCAAAGACTTCCTTAATAAAATTAAGAACTTAAACACCCCACTAACGGACAATACTATATTGGTGACAATTGATGTAGTTTCACTATATACTAACATCCCACATGAAGAAGGAGAAAAATCTGTAAAGAAATACCTAGAAAAACGTCCAGTTAACTCCAAACCTAGTGCAAATTTTATTATAAACTTAATTCATTTTGTTTTAACCATGAACAATTTTAAATTCCTTGATCAAAATTACCTTCAAGTGAAAGGGACAGCTATGGGCACACGTATGGCACCTTCTTTTGCAAACTTATTTGTTGGGCATGTTGAAGAACTTTTTCTAAATTCACAAATGTTGAAACCTTCAATTTGGTATAGGTTTATTGATGACATTTTCATGGTTTGGGAACATGGACTAGAAAACCTGCAAACTTTCCTTGAAAATCTAAATCAATTCTCAATCCTTAAATTTACCTGGAATTTCTCAGAAGATATTGTTACTTTTTTGGATGTTGACGTTTTTGTTAGAGATGGTATGTTAAAATCCAAAATCCATGTAAAGGATACGAATACAATGGATTACTTAGCTTACTCAAGCTGTCATCCTGCACACATTAAAAAATCCATACCAAAAAGCCTATCAATACGAGCAAAAAACCTTTGTTCTGAAAATCGTGATTACCAAAATTATATTGAAAAACTCAGCAATTCACTTAACAGAAGAGGTTATCCTAAAAATTTAATAGACAGTCAAATAAAAAGCTCAAAAAATCCTAACACAGATAATTTCAAAAAAGATCCAAAATTCATCACCCAATACTTTCCTGGCCTTTACAAAGTTAATAATGTTTTAAGAGTGGCACATAATATTCTTTCAAATTCACCTCTGACCCATAATTTGTTTTCCAAACCCCCAAGACTAATATACAAAAAAGCTCCTAACTTAAAAGACATTCTTTCAAAACCCAAACTACCTCCCACTTCCCAACCCTCAGCAAAACCTTCGGGCTGTAATCAATGCAACAAACCACGATGTGCCACTTGCAAATTAATCATCCCATCAAAAACTTTTACAAGCAGGCAAACAAAAAGATGTTATAACATAAATAGTAACATCACCTGTGAGTCTACTAATGTAATTTACCAAATTTCATGCAAAAATTGTCCTAAAGACTACATTGGCAAAACCACCAATGCTCTAAGAGTTCGTATGAATGGCCACAGATATGATGTAAACCATCCTGATAAACTAAAACCTGTGGCTATTCATGCGAGAGAGCATTCTCAAAATTTTGAACAATGTTATTCATTAAAAGGAATAAGAAAATTGGCAAAAGACGCACCAGACTTGAAATTAAGACAGCTTGAGCAAGCTCATCAATTAATACTTAAATCTAAAACACCTTCCGGTCTAAATTTGAGATAGTATATATATACATATATATATATAAAAATTTTTTCTTTCTTTCTATCAAAACATTTTCTTTTTTACTTCTTCATAAATTATATGTATTTTGGATGTATGCTAAAACCATATGATTCAGAGTGGTAAACACTTCTATTTGTTATTGTGTTTGTTCCTGAAGAAGGCTAATGCCGAAATATAGAAATTTCTATAAAAGTGTGTGATAAGTTTATTTTGAAAATGATTAAGCCGTTTGGCAATATTACTTTTTAATTGTGTAATGTTGTCAATTAAGAAACCGTTACTACAATCAGGTAATAGTGAATTGTGTGCTAGGAAGTCAGAGCCAATGATTGGAGTGCTTACTTTAGCTATTATAAAATTCCAGACTAGAGTTCTTCGTAGACCAATATTTAAGTTGAGACATAAACTACCATAAGTGGGGATTTCAGAGTTATTTGCAGCTCTGAGTTCTATCCCAGATGGTTTTAAGGGTTTTTTGACTAAATTTTGTGGTATACAAGTTACGTATGAACCTGTGTCTATCAGAAACTTATAGCCTGAATTGTTATCAATTACTTGTATAACCTGTTGCTGTGGTTGCTGTCAACTCCGGGTGATTCATGAGTTTGGCGTCTAGGCAAATGACAACCAGTCGACACCTCATCTAAAGTCGGGACCACGTAAGTTTGCAGTTAGCGGCAGCCAATCACAAGACAAGGCTAGTGCGATGTTGCCACATCGCCCGTTGACAACACTAATTAAAATATACTAAGCAATATTTTCAGATCAGCTGGTATTATTAGATTTGTCAACACCGCACGGTTCTCATTGGTTCATTCAAAACCATATGGTAAATAGGCTCCTCCCTCAACTGCAAACTTACGTGGTCCTGACTGTAGTTGCCTAGTTTGTTTTTTCATTGCCTAGGCGAAGTCGTTCATCCATTGTGGTTTTCTGCGATCACGTTCAGGTCTTTTCCCCTCAATCAAAGAATTTTCTTCTTCCAAAACTTTCTGTTCATTTTCATCATTTGAGTTGTCTAGATAAGAATTTTTATTTTCTGAAACTTCCTGTTCACTTTCACTGTTAGAATGAACAAGATTTTCTTCGTTGTCAACAGATGTTATATCATTGTTTGATTCTTTAGTTTAGTTGTGCTACTGTTTATGACAGTATATTCAACTTGTTGACATCCATATTTCAGGTCATCATTCACATCAGAGGTATGACATTGATCTTCTATAAAAACAACATCACATGCTTTTATAATAGAATAAGGTTTCTTAGGATCAATTAGCCTTTGGAATGTTCCCAATATCCAACCATAATACAGTAAAACCTCCCTAATCCGTCACCTACGGGACCTGGAGCATGGCCGGAACAGCAAAAAGGTCGGATTATCAGAGGAATGTTTTTATTGACAAAAAAACGTAGTAAAACTGAATTTTGAACAGACCACGTATAACTGATAACCACGGTTAATCCAACATGACATAAAATGGTTATTTCCAACTCATAAACGACGCCTAATACTAACTATATAAATAGACTTTAATGTGATTGCATTATATCACATCATAAAACTACAATTAGTAGGCTATTGCACAATCATGATAATTATGTTATGTCATTAACCTTGGTTCAGTAATAAAAAATGTTACGTTAAAAATCACAGCTTTTTCAAACTTTCACTCAAACAATCAAATTGCCAAACACATGACATAAAAACATCACTTTTTCTTTCTCTTTCTTTGTTTTTATTCTTTCTTGAGTTTCTCTTCGTCCACCCATTCAACAAGTTTCCATAGTTACTAATCACCTAATCACAGGCTACTAAAGTGGTCATGATTACCAAATTCCCAGTCACAAAATGTTGTGACATAGCAGGCGCACAGCAGACAGATGTGTTGTGTGTAGGCCTAAGGAGCAGACTATTGTCAGTGCAAACAGATAGCTTGACCTTGAAGCTTAGATCTACATTTCTTTGTTTTGATTCCATTTTATTTTTGTCAAATGAACTGTGATTTTTCAAAAACAATAATGTGGGAGCCTACTTAAAATTAATAATGGGCAGAAATGGTTAAACGTAACTTACAACAATTTTCGACACATTAGACTAAAAAACACAATTTATAGTTTTCTAGTTTTTTTTTTTTGGACAATGAGGTTATGTTAGCAGAAGCCTATTGTGTTGGCGGCACGATAGGACCAAGTGAGGAGTCGGACCATCGGAGGTCGGATTAGCGAGGTTCTACTGTACAAGGCTTGGCTTTTGTGTCAAGTTTCTTTCTGTAACATTTGGGAATATGAGCATAAGCTTTACAGCCAAAAACGCGTAAGTGACTTAGATCAACCTTTGAACCAGTCCAAACTTCCTCTGGTGTTGCATCCTTTAAAACTGCTGTAGGACTACAATTTTTCAAATAGATAGCTGTGTTTATAGCTTCTCCCCAATTGTCATTCTCCTAAACCTGAATCTTGAAGTAAACATCTTGTCTTTTCAACTAGTGTTGGGAATAATTTCCCCCAAAACTTTGAGTAATGTTCATTCCTACAATACATAACAAGCTTTGAACACTACAAGTTTTCTATTTGGCATAAAACAGATGTTTAAAGATGCTGACCTGGTATTCAGAAGATGCAGGGACTGGCTTGAGGGGAGAGGGGAGTGTGTGTGGTTGGGATGGTGACTCACTAGTGTCCAGCAGTGATGAGTTAGCGGTCATCATTGGTAACTGAATAGGCACACTACAACAAACATCAACATGGCTTACTAACTTAACCTACTGCAGAGTAAGACTCTTATAATCTTGAGGAACCTGAGACCTAAATTAGATTCCAGGAGCATGTATATAGAAAAAAGTCAAACAAAATTGTTTGTGAATTTGTAAGCCTGAACTCAAGTTTTGATGGAGAAGTTTGTTTAAAACTTTATCTTGTAATAAGGTCTGTAACAACTCAGCTTCCCATAAGTATATACTATCAAAATTAGATACTAAAACAATAAACAATTAGAACATTAAACATTCATGCAATTTAGAGTAAGGTGTACTGAAAGATTAAGTATTAATATTAATAGAAGTAAAATTGACTTTATAAATTTTGGATTGTAGGAACCCTGTAAAAATGTTGACTGTGATAATAAAGTGAAATACCGCAGGTAATCTGCAGACTAAGCAAAATATCAAATCAAATAAAATCTTTATTCAAAATTAAATAACATGAGCTACAATAGATTTTGTCAAAATATAACAATGTAAATGTCTTAAACAGGGCCGCCCCGAGGGTAATAGACGCCTGGGGCAAGATTTAAATTTTCGCCCCCTCCCCAAAAAGGTTATTTGGCGGGTTTGCGTCAATAGACCTAACGTCCAATATATCGATATCGACGCCTATGAGTTGACGTAAGAGTTTGAGCTTTGAGGTTAGAAACAGGCAAGTGTGGGCGAATACGCAGTGTGTGTGCCTCAGACTCGCAGTATTGCCAACAAGATACTTGCCAGACGTAAAAGTAGTAATCGTACAATTTGTATATTAAATAACAGTATTTGTTTGATGAATGAAACGAAAGCTATATATTGTCTTTTTTTAGAATAGTCATTGTCATTGATAACATGTTTACGAGATTCCCGTAGATTATTTGTTTGCGGTTTGCCAAAAATTATTTACCTTCCAAAGCCCCCAGGGCGGCCGCCCTGCTCACCTCGCCCTCAGGGCGGTCCTGACCTTAAAGACAACTCAAAACATGACTAGGTCTACAGCATGAAAGACAATTGGTTTAAAGGTTTCCAGACAATAAAAAAATTATTTATAAATCAAAATACTTTTTAAAAATTCCACGTTTTTAAACTTCTCTCAACATTTTATAAATTATTTTATACTTTTTAGTGCGTTTAAAAACGTGGAATTTTTAAAAAGTATTTTTATTTATAAATCTAGTTTTTAGTTATCTTTAGTTATTTTTAGTTATCTAGTTTTTAGTTTTTAATGTGTAAATAAATATGTTAAATCTATTTTATATACTTAGCCTCTTAATACATAACCAAAACCCAAAACTTTATTATCTGTAATCAGATGTTTTATCTTTACAGTACTTTGAAATTATTGTTTTATATTTTTAGAATATCTCGGGAGCACAACCTGTACCTCTTAACCTCTGCTCTTCTAACTATCAAATTTAAGTATTTACAGCTGACTTAAATTAATTTATATGTTTACATTCTTTTAAAATGTAAACATGGAAAATGTGGAAGCCAAAGGGGCGTAGTCCAAGGGAAATATGCAAATTAAATTATATAATATTGCACTGTCATCCATTTATGAGCTATGTTTCAAATTTCAAGTCTCTAGCTCATCGGGAAGTATCAAAATTTGCAAGAAAGCGATTTAATAAAAACAAGCCCATGGGGCGTAGCCCAAGGGAAATATGAAAATTAAATGATATAATATTGCATTGTCTTCCATTTATGAGCTATGTTTCAAGTTTCAAGTCTCTAGCTCGTCGGGAAGTTAGTATAAAATTGATTTGAAAATTTGTACTGGACAAGAAAGCGAGCTAATAAAAACGTTTTAATAAATAAATAAGTAGTTCAGACAAAAACTGCAAGATATTTGCCAGATTGGATTTTTACTTAAATATTTCCTTAATCATGCAAGATCTATTCCCTATGTAAATAAAATTAGGTTTAAAGAGTAATTAATGCTACAGAGAACTCTTATCAAGTGTCTCTCATATCTTGAAATCATGGAGGTGTCTTCCTTTTAATCAATCATCATTATGATTTTATGACGTCACCAGTTTACCCAATACCTAATGTGGATCACCCAAATAATGAGGATCATTGTTCATTCTTCAAGACCCTCCCTCCCCTGTGTGTGTCAAGAACAGGTTTTTCTGGACAAAAACTTTGTTTGCTCCCGATTGTATGTAGGCCTATGTTTATTCATTTTTCAGAAATTTAATTATTGTTATATAATGGGGTTTCTAGAAAATGAGAACAAGATCAGAGGTTTAAAACATTTGTTTGAATGAATGTTGTGAGTTTTTAATTGATTTTTATCAGAGCAAAAAAGAAAAAAAAAATATGCAGAAGGTACCTCTAAGAGCCATTTGACAGTTAGGATTCAAACGCCTGGTAGGAACGTAGAAGGTCAGCATTTCTGTCCCTAAAGTTGACTAGCTATCTTCTTACCCTAAAATACTGAAGTCACTAAAAGTCAATCTAGAGGTTAAAATACCTTTAATCCGTCAATGTGATCAAATGTTAATCAAATATTGTTTTAACCTCTAGATTAATTTAAAATTGTGATCAGGAGGCAAAAACAACAGAAATGAAGCACTAAGTCATAATCCTGGATAAAGCAGTTGGACCTGTAGATGTTTACCTAGTCTTGGTGTCAGACGTGTGAGTGGTGGAGGTTGGGGCTGGTAACTCTGTGGGGTGATAGGTGTAGAAGTCAAGAGATTGTAGCGAAGCTGTCTCCACAGAATGTAACCCAGTTGGTTGAAACTCTTCTCTGGAAACAACAACACCAAGCATAGTCGTCAACACTCAGCCAAATCATTTTACCATGACTGAGTCTTTCGTCAATTCAAAAATGACTCTTTCATCAAGAATTGTAATAGTGTCGGCAAACCGAAATATGCACAAGTGCCAGTTAATATTAACGAGTCTATTTCTAATTGATATTGTTTTATACAACAAATTGTGGTACAAAATTATAACTCAACAACTCGTTTATTCAACCAAAGTAACAAATACAGATTTGCATTTGTCATGTCAAACAAAATATATCTTTACCTCTAAAATTAAAATAAAACAATGGTGCTTCAATCAAACTAGATTTACGAGTGACAAGCTTCTTCAAACTTAATTAAACCCATCAGCGACACATTCACGGACACTGTAGCAACTCTTGGCCAAGAGTAATTTTTTTACTTGCCTTTTGAAGCCCGGCTCCAGCTGAAGGGAGGGAGGAAGTAGATTGAAAAGTGTAATGCCGTTGGAATGGAAGTGTCTCTTAAACAATGACGTTGAGTGAGATGGCAATTTAAGATGTGAATTGTTACGTAGTGTATATGAATTCAATTCAATTCAATATTTCTTTATTTATTAAAGCACTAAGTACATGAATAGTGTCATTCTTTTACATGTTTTTATATTACAATGTTCTTACATTCTATAGATACAAAGTTCTTAAAATCTAACATAAGTTTATACAAATCAAAAATTAACGCTCCTTCTAAAATTTTAAAGTTCATCAAGGGAATACAATACCTTGTTGATGAGAAATGTTTTAAGACCCCTCTTTATCCCACCATGCTTTTTGCTGATTTAATTTCATTTGGAATTTTGTTGTAAAATTTGGAGCCGGTATAACTTGGTTTTTTACTGTAAAGTTCTAATCTGTGGCGGTTTAAAGCAATTTTGGTTTTGTTTCTGGTATTGTAGTGGTGGTGTTCACCAGTTAACGCCCATTGAGAAACTCTGTTTTTAACATATAGAACTGTTTCATAGATATACAATCCATATACAGTCTAACCTTGATATAACGAACCTCGATATAACGAATTCCTTGATTTAACGAATTTTTTTAAATCCCCTAGAACTCTCCCTTATGTCTTATACACAATGTATATTTTACCTCTACATAACGAACAAACCATATAAACGACCTTGATTTAACGAATTTTTCATGATCCCGGCTAAAATAAGACACCTCAATATAACGAATTTATCATTGTCAGAACCTCTACATAGCGAATTTAACCTCTACTTAACAAATTGTCTGCGTCTCTCCCTCAATACAACGAACCCCCCACCCTCATTGTTTTTGAAAAATCAGTTTCTTCATCAAATGAAATGGAAAGGTGACGTTAACGCTTGTGCTAACATTCGTCTGCTCCGTTAAGCTATGGTTCCACAGGATGCGGAATCTCCACCGTGCGGTGCGATTTTTTCCGCTGCGGAATTAAAACGACACTGGTTTAATGGAGTTCCCATGTGTGCGGTTCCACTGACTTGCGATTCCGCATCCCGAATTTTCAAGAATGTTCAAGAATTCTTCAACACCTAATTCTTAATCCGCATGGCGGAGAAATCATACTGGGCTGAGAGCAGTAGCAGTGCGGATTCCGCCAGCGGAGAAGAGCCATCAAATATTGTGTTGTGACCGTGCAGTTTCATTATGTCTTATGCTGTTGCTGTAAAAAGAATTATAGATGAACGATTATAAAGTAACATATATAATCGCAACACCGATTTTCAACAAACTAACTGTTAAAATAAATTATTATAATACATTTAACATAAACTGTCGAAAATGGTAGACCTGACGAACAATTATCCTGAGATGTTTGGGTATCAAGTGTTAAACGGGATATCGTGATTGAAACCCCTTAAGTTTTGTAAAATAAAAAGGAAAAATAGGCCCCTTCACTGTCTCGATTCTTAAATATGTCACTTCGATCACTGTGACTTGACACTAACAAAGATAGAAGATCGACAACATCATCATCAATGTCATCATATAGCATCAAAGCCAAAAGGACTTTCCTCTTTCTATCCATACTCGTCGCTAGTTTGGACAGAACTGAATCTCCGCAACGTTATTTTCGCAGTCTGTAGAACCACCCCTCAAGATTTTTCGCTGCGTAATTTTCCGCTGCGAAAAATTACGCACCGCATGGCGGAGATTCCGCATCCTGTGGAACCATAGCTTATCCCTGTCTGCTGTCGTCGCTGCATGCGCGCTATGTTACAACTGAGAACTGATTTCATTCACTGAGGACTGATGACGACGTAATGTGTAGTAAGCTGTGATTGGGTGATAAGTAACTATGGTGACTTGTACAATTTTTGGATGAAGAGAATCCTAAGAAAGAAAAATAATAGAAGAACAAAGCAAAGAGAATAGCAACATCGTTATCTTAACATTCCTTTAACGAGTGTTTTTAGCGAATTTCCCATATAGGGAATAAGCTATTACCGTAGGTCTCATGGTAAGACCTAGACCCGGGACCGATTTACTTTTTCGTTTTGAGGTCCCCAGAGGCCAAAAACACCATCCGTTCAAATTCATATATATATATTTATATATGTGTCCGTTAGCGCGATAACTCGAGCAAAATTGATTCGATTTTGATGAAATTTGGTACAAACGTGTAAACCTACATTTATTCGAACGAGTTCGCGAACCAGCATAATCGGACCATGGGATCAGGGGTTTATGGGGGGTTTTATGGGGTAAAAATGGGTTTTTCTCATTTTTGACCCTAAAAACTTTAAATTTCTAAATTTCTCTCTAGACCATTTTGAAGAGCTTAAAAAAACAAATAATTTAGTATATTGAAGTGTTTTTGAATGTTCATTGATTACAGAGAAAATTTAAAAAATTGTAAATTTAAAATTCCCATGTTATTCTTAAGGAGAATAAATAAACTGTTCTAGTTTGCTTGTTTATGGATATATTTTAATCAAATTTGGCAATTTGGTTTATTTCATACTAAGCTATCAATATTTCAATTGAAAAAACACACCTCAACATCTTCCCCGTAGCAGCAAACCTAACTACTCACTAAAATTAATGTTATAGGAATATTTAAGTAGAAATCAAGCCGGGTAAATGGAAATTCGCTTAGTATGCAGGTTTGCTGCGACGGGGGTATTATTAATCTCTAAGTTGGTTATGATTATACACTTCAACGACTTATCTAATATTTTTATTATTTTCAATACGATTTGTTTAAACTAAGGCAACACCAATGCTATAGTTGATGATTATTACAGTATTGACATTCCTCTGTTGTGATTTAAAGCAGCAATTTAAGCCTACCGGCCTAACACGCAGTAGCTTACAAAACTCCCTACTGTTTTGTTCATTACAAGGTTTATTGTTATACAATACAGTGTTTAGCTAGGTTTTAGGTGAATTAGATTAGGTGAATTAGATAAGGTCAACGACTAGAAATGTCATGATTGCGCAATATTAAAGATCCCTCCCCTTTAGTAGGCCTACCCCGGATAATCGAGGTTCTACTTAACAATGTAAACAGTGTACTGTAAAGTATTGTAGCCTAGGCTACTTTAATTGTGTTTGTGAGTCAAATCCCGACCTATATTGACTGACGCTGGTTCTGAACCTCGACTTAGCGAAATTCCTGCAAACCTAACCTCAATATAACGAACCTCGTTTTAACGAAATCCTTGATATAACGAATATTCAGTTCGGTCCCTTCAGATTCGTTATACCGAGGTTGGACTGTACTGTCATTATTTTGAATGATCTAAAATGCTCTTTTGAAGTTCTCGAGTCAAAGGTCCAAAATAATTCTTATAGCTCTTTTTTTGTAATTTTAGGATTGTTTCTAAGTTATTGATAGATGTAGCGCCATAGAGAGATATTCCAAAAGAAATAACAGAATGTATGTACGAAAAGTATATTGATTTTAATGTTATTTGATTAAGAAGATTTTTTAATCTAGTTAATGCAAATAGACCAGATACAGTTTTTTTAATTACTTTGTTTGCGTGAGAATTCCAATAAATTTATGTCAATTTCAAATCCTAAGAATCTAATATTTTCTAATTCTTTGATAGGTTTCTGAATAATTTCTAGTGAAGGATTAATTGAAAGTCTTGTCTGACGAGTATCAAAATTTATGAACTTTGTTTTATCTGGATTCAAAAGTAACTGATTGTTTTTGAAAAAAATTGAAAGTATATCTAGATTAGCATTAGCTGTCTTTTCAATTGCCTCTTCAGAATTAGAGGTAACTGAAAGATTTACATCGTCTGCATAAAGGTAAAGTTGGCTAGATTTAGTCAGCCCTGGTAGGTTTGTAACATAGCAAATGAATAGAAGGGGACCCAAGATGGATCCCTGTGGTACACCATGTTTAATAGTTCTGATTTTTGACTTATGAGTAATTTTCATTTGATTATTGAATTGGATAGTTTCTACAAATTGTTTTCTATAACAAATGTATGGTTCTAGCCATTGAAGAGATTTATTTTTTATTCCGATGCTAGACAATTTATTTAAAAGTAGATTGTGGTTTATAGAGTCAAATGCCTTGGTTAAATCCATGAAAATACCAAGAGCCTTTTGTTTTGCATCTAAACAATCAATAACTGACTCTAAAAACTCTGTAGCAGCTGTCACAACTGATCTCCCACTTCGAAATCCATGTTGACAGTCCTCAAAAAGGCGATTACTTTCCAAAAAGTTATATAAACTATTGTACATGGCCGGAAGTAGAGCAATTGGACAGTAGTTTGATAATTCATATCTATCTCCTTTTTTGAATAATGGAATTAATTTAGAAATTTTTAGTTTATTAGGAAAAATGCCTGATATAAAGGAAGAATTTACTAAATGAGCTATAGGTTTTCTGAGGGGTGATTTTGCTTTTTTGATGAGCACCACAGGGACATCAAACTCATCATAGCCGGTGCTAAATGAGTTTTTAAGATGACTTATTATTTCGTCAATCTCTTTCTCATCAACAGGTATACAATGAAAACCCGGAATTATATGATCTGACTCAACTACTTTTACACCGTCCTTAACATTCCCAACAAGTGAATCCAAGTTAGGAACAATGTTTGTGTCAACCAAATCAGTAAAATAATTGTTGAATGAATTACATATAACATAAGGGTCTGAACAACATTGATTGTTAATATGAACACTAGTAATGTGGTTATCTGCTTTTGCCTTACCGACTTCAGAGTTAATAATTTGCCAGCTGGTTTTGTTCATGTTACTTGAGTTGTTGTTTATTTTATTTTGATAATATAGTTTTTTGCAGCTGTAACCTTATTTCTAAACATTTTATTGTTCTGTCTTTGTTGTTTGTACATGGTTTTGATTTTTAACATTCTAGCATTGTTAGCAAACTCAATAATTGATTATTTTTCAATCTTTAGCTCTTCAGTAAACCACCTGCTTCTATGTCTTTATTTTCTACATAGTTTCTTAGGAAAACACAAACCAAAATAATACATAAAAGTTTGGTGAAATGGTGAAATACCCCCTCTGACATACCTGAATACATTGATTTTTCCTTAAGTCAGGCTTTCAATTTTACTCGCAATAGTTGCACCCTGGCTGTCAGAGCATAGGGTTAGCTTCATAGGAGTCATCCGAGAGAGGAGGTGTGCAGACTGTCTTTTATTTCTATGGTTTTTAAAACTACCAGCTGTACTTTTTGTTTTGTTGTCTCTTTTCTTACTTGTTGAGTTATTTCCCCCTCTACAGTATAATTATTATGCACTTTGATGTTAACAGGTTCGGCTGTGCTACCCGCAGGACGGGTTTTGATGTCACTAACATGTTTCTGTAGTACTTGGAAGCTATTGTAGGTCTTAATTGTAGTCCCGGTGTGGATGTTCTAGGGGTTTATATTTCTATTTGTTTTACTAGTTTAAACTTCTTTAATAGCCTGTTGAAATCCTTTACCCTTCAAATTTCCGAGTCGAGCTTTATTTTCAAGGTATGAGCATATCTCTTTGATGATTGCTGTTTGTTTTGTTCCATAAAATATTACTTTGTATTTTAGCAGGTTACTATTATCATCGATTTCACTAATAGTTGCAGGCCTGGAGGAGTGCCCCTTGAGCTTAGCAAAAAATTTGTCCCCAACTTTAAACTTAAGTTGTAATTGTCTCTTCATTGTTTTATCTTAAGATATAGAAATAAAATTATTTTAAAATGTGGAGTCCAGCAGTACTTGGGAAGTCTATGCAGTGTATAGTCAATGGTAGCAATAAAATATAACAAAAATATTTGTATTTTTTTATGGTTTTAAAAATAAAAATTTGTTTAGATTAAAACGTTTGTAAATAAAGTTGCTTGTATGAATAAAGTTCAAGGAAGCACCAGGTCAGGAACCGGTGTACAAAGATCAGTCACATAGATAAGACTGCTTGGAGTTGCCCAACTTTCCTTATCAGATCTGATAAGGCACCCATTCTATCTCTAGGTACAGTTCTCGCAGCTAGTCTGGGCGCGCGGCCGCGCTAGGGCAGGGGGTGTAGAGGGGAGTGTTTATTGCTCGTTTCCAAAAACATTCGGCCCACACGGCACACTGGGGTTGTTCAGCGCCTCACTGCTGTCTTCATGGCTTTGGCGTGGGGGACGGTTAGTACACAAGGGTCCGCGCGCCCAGACTAGCTGCGAGAACTGTACCTGCCTATCTAATAATTTTCAAGAAAGGTTTTAGTGTTTATCTCACATTATTCACAAAGCAAAGTTTTTTTTTCAAATAATACACTTAAAAACAAATCGCTGATTCTTTACTCACAAAACTATATACAAATTAAAGCGGAATTATTATTTTTTTCTATGTAAAACTTTAAAAAATTAGAGAGCACATGTGATAGCAAACTACATGTGTGACACCTACTCATTATTAATGAACGAGTAGGTGAAGATTGATATTAGTGTAGGTTCTTTTTAATGAGAGTCAAAGTTTCCAAAATGTATATTGAGGGAAATGTTAACATTTGTGATGAATCAAAGTACTGTCTGCAAGATGTTCTTCTATTCAAACCAAAGATTATTCTGACTGCCTTCTTCTGGAAGAGGAAAGACGTTTTCCCACACTCACACCCCCGCACCGTCACTGCGTATGTCAGGTGTGAAAAAATTACTCTGTAATATGCTGCAATTAATACATCACATTTTGCAAACTTAGAAAGTTGGGGGAGGAGAAAGATTTCTGAGGAAATCCTTCTACAAACAGTGTCAATATGGGTATGAAAGTGCAGGTATTATCGTCTGATATTATACTCTAGTACGAACTTTGTCTGTTTGTGGGTTTGTAAAATTGGTTTGTCTAATTATTTGTTTTTCAAACTTTTCCTAATTAAATAAATCGTGCTTTATTGTAAATCGTTTCATACTATATGAAATTTACCTAAAAACTACTAGATGGAATATTGTAAAAACGGAGCTTGGCAACATTGAAAAATGTCAGAATTTTCCAAACTTGATAGTTAACGACAAGGAAGTGACATCAGGTTCTGAAATTGCTAAGGTTTTAAATATTAATTTTTTACATCATCATCCAATTCATTAAATATTGTGCCTTCTGTTGAAGATGCCCTTGGTTTCCTTGACAGGGTTTTTCCACCTTCTTTGCCAGTTTTTTGTTTCAGTGGTGTAACAATTAAAGAAGTCAAAGATGTCATACGTTCACTTAAAAATAAGAAGTCAGTTGGATGGGATGAAATTTCAGTAGACCTCATAAAGGACAATGTAGACATAATTGCCAAACCTCTTTGTTAATTAGTCAACCAATCTCTAACTGAGGGAATCTTCCCTGACCAGATGAAATATGCAGTAGACAATAGACAATAGACAAAGCTTTATTGTACATAACGCCTGATACAATAATTACTAAAGTAATTCCCAAGCTGGTACATGGTCAATTTATATCTAATTTATATCTAGGTTCCTTAGTAATAAAACCAATTTTTAAAAAAGGTGGAGTCAATAACCCAGATAGTTTTAGCATTTTTTAAATCAAATCATATTTTTTCCAACAGTCAATATGGGTTTAGATCTGGCAGGAATACTTCAATGGCAATTACTGAATTAGTAGAGCACATCTTGGAAGCCTTGGATGAATCACAGAGGGTATCTGGTATTTTCTGTGATCTATCCAAGGCTTTTGATTGTGTATTGCATGAGATTCTATTAGAAAAGTAAAAAAAAATATAATTTCTCAAAAACTGCAATTTCTTGGCTTTGTTCATACTTAAGTAACCGTAAGCAAAGAGTTGTAATTGAAAGATATTCATTAAAATTTCAATCAGATTGGCAAAAGATTTCAGTTGGTGTTCCCCAGGGTTCAATCCTTGGCCCAATATTATTCTTAATTTATATAAATGATCTTGATGGCAACATTAATACAAACCTCATCTTATATGCAGATGACACCACTGCCCTGCTTAAGGCTGAATGTGTACATGAGCTTAAAATACTTACTATCAATGCTATGGAGGAACTTGAAGTATGGTTTCGTACTAATGGACTAAAACTAAATTGTGAACAAACTAATCTGATGAAATTTCAAACAGCACAAAGTAATGACTCTAAAAAATTTACAGTTGAGTTTTTAAATACTGAAATTACATCAACAATACAGAATAAATTTTTGGGATTAACAATTGACCAAAATTTAAACTGGAAAAAATACATAACAATACTTGGCCATAAACTGAATTCTGCTTGTTTCCAAATGCTTGTGTTAAGGGATAGAACTGATTTGGAAACTAGATTAATGGTTTATTTTGCCTATTTTTATTCCATTATGAAATATGGAATTGAGCTATGGGGTTCATCGGCTAAATGGAGAAAAATATTCAAGTTTCAAAAAAGAATTGTTCGCATTATGACGTTTTCGCGGCCAAGAGTCTCATGTAAGCCAATCTTTAAACAGTTAGGATTATTGAGCCTTCCCTCTCTCTATATATATTCATGCTTACTGTTCATTCAGAAGAATTTTGATCTTCTTTGTGGACAGCAGCATTTACATGCATACAACACAAGGCGCAAAGACAATTTTCAATACCGAATACATAACTTAACAATCTATGAAAAGGGCCCTAGTTACATGGGTATGACGTTTTTTAATAATCTACCGACAAACATTAAAAGCCAAATCCGTTTAAAGAGCTTTAAGAATACTCTAAAAAGTTATCTTTTAAACCAAGTATTTTACTCTGTAAGTGACTTCTTACAAAAATAAGCAGTATTGTTATATGTAATTGTTGTTTCAGAGTCAGACAAAAATGTTCTGTAACTTAATTGTATTTTTAGGTTTAGATTGAATTGACAATGTCACCAGTTTAATAGCTTTGCTATGTACAAATGTTTTTATGTGACAGTAAAGTGAATTTGAATTTTAATATTGTTGTTTATAGTTGACTTATTGTAAAGCATGATAATACTTTAAGTGTTCAAACTTACATGTCATCAGCAGTGCTGTTGTCTGCACTCAAGTCAGAGAGGTCGAAGTCGTAGTTGATTGTATTGAGAGTAGTGTCGGGTGTCACATCAATCCTTGGTTCTGGAGATATTGGGGAAAGAAGAATTGAAAATTTCATTGGGGACTCCAATGTCTCAGGTTTGGAAACTACCTGAAATATCAAATAGTAGATTATTCGTCATAACACAGCAAAAACAGCAGTTTTAAGTACATGTGTTGCGGGTCAAAAGTAGCTCTTTTACTCCCCAGGGAGTATAAGAGTCATCTCTTGTAAACAGTCGTAAACTTTTATTATAAGCAATCTCATGAATCAGAATTATTTATTGATTGATTTAATCGGTTGTAGCTTATTGCTGAATTCTTGTCAATAGTTCAACATATTGATTGTATAACGTACACTAAAACAATCGTAATAGACAAAATGGTTGACCCATTTACTAAACAGCTGCTTATTTGCATTAGCAAAATTAAAAACAAGTTGGAAGGTGTATTCCCAGGTAACACGTAAGCTTACGGCAAGCCTTGTCAAAGGCTTGTCTGGAAAGGCCTTTTTATATCAACTTGTGCCAGACTTGTGGCACGCTTGTGAAGAAGGCTTACGGGGAACAGCTTGGGGCCAATTCGTGGAAGGAGTATCACGACAAGCAACGTAGTTGTAATTTTCATCCATCGCAGCGCTAGTCAGTCTACTACACAACAACAACAAAACAACCGCCATTTTATTTGTGTTTGTTTGGCCGTCTGGCGTCTGCGCTTGTTCTTTCTTGTTTTCGGTTAAGTGTTTATTTTTCCTTAAGTTTTGAGTTTATATTTCGCGTTAAGTTTAAATTTTTAAGTTTATAAAGTTTGTATACAGCCCTAAGTAAATTTATAAGTGCTTTTGGTTAATTAGGCCTAGTAGTTTTCCTCGGTGATAACTTTGAAACCTACTGCGATTTTCAGGTGAGTAGAATAACCTAGATTTAGCAGTAAGTTAATCAGTAATTTTAAATAAGTTAAAGCAGCCAACTTAACTTAAGTTTATAAGTTATTAATATAATGATTTAAGCATCAACCGTTTGATTTAGAGCCTGGGCCTAGTCTAGACATAACTCACAAAAGTCTTACCGGTACCTAGCTAAAAGGCCTGCCCTAGGCTATTTGATTTATGATTTATGTACATCAGATGTACATTTATCACATCTTATACCTTCTTAACTTTTTTAAAATCTGTTTTCACTTGATCACTTGAAAAATTGGCAGTCAATTTAGTGTTTGTTAAAAACTTTTCCAGGAAATGTTTTAATAATGATTCATTATTGGTAGCCCAATAAACCTGAGGGCTGATATAAATGATTTGATATAAAACTGCAGCACATTTTATTCTTTCACAAAGTGTCAAAACACCTAGTAATTTGCTATTGGGAATGTTCATGTTCATTTGTTATGTTAGGGTCCCATAATAACTTAAGCTACTTAGCTAACCTAACTCATGTGTTAATTAGCACCTCGACTGTAGGCTGCTAGCCTTGATAGACTCTACTAAGTCAATCAAAAGGACTAGGCTAAACATAGGCCTACCCTCGGAGTCATACCTAGGTCCACCGCGGTCAATCTCCCCCGCGCTAGTTTCCGCAAGGTCTGCGGCCGGCGGAGCATGAGACCAACAATCCCTCCCACTTGCCTCTGAGTCGCACAGTTTGGTTTGGCCGACCTAACCAAACGGTGCGGCGGACAACTGGAGACTACTTCACTCGTAACTACGCCTGCAAAATGTAGGATACTTTACCAAAGCACTGCTGTATTGCGGGCTGACTAATGAGACCGTTTTCTGTAAAGTAGTAATTGTACAAATTACCGTACACTTGCTTGGCTACGAGAAAATAATTATTCAATTTGTCATATCTATTCCACGATTATTAATGGTTTTGAAATCCATACACCACTTTACTCACTAATATTAATGGTACAGATTAAGCACATAACATTAGAATAATAATTCACTTTAAACACAAATGCAAATTGTTAACGACAACATTATTACATTTATTAATTAAAGACAAATCAATCAAATAACAATAAGCCGTTTAATTATTAACACAAAAGGTTTCGTATGATTAGATTATGCATACTGATAAACCACCTATGGCCATCCATAATAATATTTATTTGGGTTTTCTTTTCCGAGTCGGGTTAGCTCTTCTACTCGGCCGATTTTCAATATTTTGGCCTCAAACTAAAGGTATGGACGCACTACAGATTTGCAATCAAGAATCGGCATTCATTTTTATTGACGTATATTTCGAGTTATGCAAAACTCATAAACTAACTCGTTCATAAACTAACCTCATAGTTCTTAGAATATTTGTATATTCAACCAGCTGTTAGTTATAACAAATTATATTGCACTAAAACAAACTAAAGATTTTATAGACTGTTGAAAAAATAAATTAGAACATCTATTATTTTAATTTTACTTTGTACTAGCTGTTTTGCTCGTTCTACGTACGGGAATCTTGTAGTAAGTTGAAACCTTATATTCAGAACAGGAGTTGGTTTGCATATATAGTGTGCATTTTTCCAGATATGCTAGCAAAACTATTACTGTATAGGAATACATATAATCCTTCGCAAATACAATATCTGACAGTTTCAAAGCCAAAACGAATGCTTCGCAATTAAATGTCACCCGATCGTGTTAGTCCATATTTTATATCTAATGATAAAAGGAATTGCTTTATAGATCTATAGCCCTAAGGTAGACCTGTAATTGAAAGTTACTTTTCACACTGGTTAAAAGAAGTTAAAAAAACTACCTCAACCTCACTACTGCACACTTTATTCGGGTTGAAATTTTCAATAACAAAGGTGCTCTTGTCTTTTCCAAGAAACACTGAGAAATAAGGACATTAATGCGTTACCAACAGACATACACACACAATAGCAGTTAGGGGATTTGCTACGCTTTAACCAAAGCAAATTACAAACAAAATAATTATTTGAAAGTTTTGATAGTGTCATCAAATATTATGATAATCGTTTTTAGGCCTAATCAAACTGTAAAATTTGTGTAAATCCGTTGGTAAATATATAAATAAGTAAATAAATACACAGTCCACAAAAAAATTATTCGTTAACAACGCCAAGCTTTAAAAATTCATGATGGTTTGCTAAAAAATCTTTCAATAATGTTTTATCATTTCATAGCATAAACTAACATTTTGGAGTCCAGACAGAAAACGCAAAAATTATACAGTAGGACATCAATTAAATTTAATAAGAAATAAGGTGCAGCACTAACGATAACTATAGTTGTAAATAGTGATGTGTTTCTACATAAAAATGATTCTTACTGCTACCACCGGTTCTAAGGAAAAGTATCAGTACCATAAACCAACGTTTACATTTAAGAAAAGAACTATAGTACTTGCAACCAATTCAAACTGTCCTTCTAATCAAACTGTTTTATATAGGTTTTAATCCGTTGGCAAATAAATAAATACACAGGCCACAAAACATGTAACATGTAACGTTAACAACGTAAAGCTTTAAAACTCACTATGGTTTGCTAAAAAAAAACTTTCACTTGATGTGGTGCAGTACCGAAGTTATTAATCTCCCTTGGTTTTAAATGTCTTTTAAGTTTTCGAGAATCAAAGTTATTTCCCAATAATAGCATTAATTGTAAGCAACTTTCAATGTTAACATATTAATGACAGTTTGAAGAAACCACCTTTATCCAAACAAAGGTTTCTTATGTAAAATATTACGTAATCTCTCTCTAAACGATAATTGGTACATATATCTAGCAAATATTCGGAGGAAATGTGACAAACGCACAAATCTGGGGTTTTGGACGTTTGTAGTTTTAGTTCCTAAGTAGGAAAAGTACCGATATCGTTGTCGAAATGTAAGTAGTAAAAACCAAAAGTGACACATTGGAAAATTGAGTTTAGCTACATCTGTAAGTTAAACCTCTGTTACGATCACAGCAAAATCAGAAAGATCTTCCACGATCGCAGCAACATCCACGATCACCCAGTCATCCACTGCAGCTGTGATTTTTTACTTTGCACTTACCACAACTGTCCTTGAAGCACCGTCAATGAATGGAAACCTTTTTTGTAAGGCACAACGTTTTTAATCTCACTTGGTTTGGATGTGCTAACAAAACTTGATCGGAAATGGTTGCGGTATTTGTAAACAACTTTTACTGTAAACATATCAGTGACAGCTAGAAGTGAGAACTAATCCAAACAGCTGATCGTTATTTCATCAAATGTAATAGTAAACATTAGGAGAAAATTTGACAAAAATCGAACAAAATTGGGTTTTTGATAACACGTTATTTGGTGTTCAAAGAAGCGAGGCCAGGTTTTTATAGCCAAAGACACTCTCACCAATCCAGTAAATACAGACAAATGATTAGAACCTTGATCGGTACTCTAGTTTTCTAGGAGTAGGCCGCGTAAAATGACATTTTGGCGTTACAGACGCAACCACAGAATGGACGGACAAACAGTGTAACAGGCTAAAATAGTGGTACGATTTTTTTTTATTAAATATCAACGTAGACGAAATATAGACAAGCAAGACAAGTATATTCAGGTTCCACCGATTTGAATTTCCCGCTTCCTTGACGTGCGCACGCACCTCGCGCCTGCTCCAGTTTCCCGCGCTTGCCTGTCGCGCATGCGCACGACGGTCTAGCTACTCAGAGAGGCCGAGATGACTCTAAGACACTTCACTTCCGAACACAATACCGACCCGACTAGTCGATCTTCAAATAAGGTAGGAGAACGTCTCCAATTCTATTTGTAGTATTTGCATCGACATTTATTTTCATCCGTATTATTGCTTGATTAAATTTAACGCTAATTGCTTTGCTTTACCTTTTGTAAATCATTTGAAAATTATAATACCGTAGCATTTTGAGCTTGAATCGCACATATATAGTATTATTGCATTTAGTAGACGTATAAATTGTCATTGCTTGATATATAATTAGCAGATCATTTATCACGCTAATTTGTAGATTTGCTTTGCTCATAGTGATTATACATCGTACTTTATCTACCTTGCTTGTACATTCTATGCTTGTATTTCCATTTGTATGCACCTAGCCTCATTCTACCTGCTTTATTCCGTTGCTTTAAACCTATCTAACCATCC